GGTGACACCGGCTCTGGCTGGGGTACGGCCAGAGGGTGGCAGAAACCCCCTTGGGTCTCCGCGGGGTGATGGGGCTGAGCTGAGAGCCAGTGGCTGGTGCTGTTCCCAGCTCTGGCTGGTGGCAAGTTCCTGCAGACCTTTATCTTTTTTCTTTTTTCTTTTTTTTTTAATCCCCCCTCACGTGGACTTTTCCATTGCGCGTGAGGCTTTTCCATTGACTGGCAGCTCTTGTGGTGACCTCCAAGGGGGCTGTGCATCATGACTCAACACTGATGCTTTACCTGGCCCCGTCTGCATCTCACCCCGAGCGCGTCCCGCTGGGGCCGGTGTGTGTCTGGGTGGTGGCTGGGGTTTGAGCCCAATGCCCTGCACGGCTGGAGCTCCTCAGCTGCCTACCCCTGCCTCAATGGCCTGCCTGCAGGCAGCTGAGCCCTCCCCAGGTACATGCCTGGTCCTGGCCACCGCACTCCGCTGTCAGGTTTTTAAGGGGGGGAAGACAGCTATGCACTTGTTAGTTATTGCAAAAAACGTGAATTGATGATTTTTGTAGTCATCCTTTTTCAGTAGATGACCCAGGATCGGTCAGATTGTGTTTCGAATGAAGTGGAAATAGCATTCTTCTTCTCTTCTTGTCCTTCAGTTTTAATTACAAATGGATCTGCACTCAGTAAAAACAATCACACTTCCACTTGTAATGTAGGCTAGTGAGCTACATTGCAAGCTAAAACCTGTTTTGCTGTGGCCATGGTACAGGGTCTGAGACTAGGGATGCAACTGGGAATATTTTTGCAAAAATTTATTTTAATTTCTCAACTTTTTTTTTTTTTTGGCAATTCTTTTGAAGTATTCCAAGCAAAGAGCCCAAAGCTGTATTATACCTCAAGAAAAATGCTGCAACGCCCATGGCAGTAGCTGAAAGCACACGAGTGCCAGTGCCTTTTACACCCAGGCCCTCTGGCAGGGACCTGGAAGACAAAAGCAATGCTCCTGTTTATGATTGCAATAGTTGCCATTTTTAAGTAGTGAAATAGTGCTGGTGCTGCTCATCTTAAAGTAATGAAACCTGCAGTAAATCCAAATGGTTACAGCAAAACACAAATGTTGTAGTATCCTTTTAAAATAGCGTAGTGTACTGATTACCTCTGATTAGAGTACGTGGAATAGTTTTTTTATATAGTGTATTTATTAAAGATGAGACTGGAATTTGTATCTCAACTGATGCATCTCATGATTTAATATATTCTGAACTTGATACTTGCTACAAAACACTCACTTTTAGTACAAATAAATATTTATACATGTAGTTAACTCTCACTTTGTAATTTTTTGGGGGGAAAATTACAACCACATGGTTCCTCTGGGGCTTGACACACTCCAGGCCCCGTATAGACCAATGGCCCCGAGCAGCCTGGCATGAGGCCGAGCCCGTTTCCTTTTGCCCGGAGAAGCTGTGGCTGCTCCTCCCTGGAAGTGTTTAAGGCGAGGTTGGATGAGGTTGGATGAGCAACCTGGTCTAGTGGAAGGTGTCCCTGTTCATGGCAGGGGATTGGATCTGGATGAGCTTTGAGGTCCCTTCCAACCCAAACCAGTCTGTGATTCTACGATTCTAATCTCAACTAATTCTGGTTGAGATTAGCACCTTTTCGCTGCCTGGGCTGTGTCATGTTGAACAAGTCACATTTAACAAGCGCAGTAACTGCAGCGTTCCTGCTGCCCTGCAGTTCTGTGCTCTTTAACCAGCACTGAACCACCTTCTGGCTGCTGAAACCCTGCAGCAATGGGGGAGGATGCTGCATCGTTTGGGCTTTTCCCACAGGACCCACTGCACGCAGGCTGTAGGTCCTGGAGTGCCACAGCCTGCGCTTCCCAGCTCAGGGAGTGACAAAGGGAAAGCTGTTGAGCCCAGGTAGCTTCTCCACGAAGGCACTGGAGGACCTTTGCTGCTGGCCTGTGTGTGCCCTGGCATGGGGCTGGACACCGGCTGAGGGTGCATGGGCTGTGTCCTGGGCTCACCCTGGCATCCCACTCATCCAGAGCCTGGCTTCACCCTCCCTGGCCTGGCCACCGCATCCCAGGTCCCCAGGCACCAGCCAGGGAAACGATGCCCTTGCCCAAGCCAGTCTCCAAAAACACCCAGCTGTAGTTACAGAACTCACAGACACACATATAGGTGAAGGTTACAGAAAACAGATCAACAAAAACACAGTGCAAACAAACAGCATGTTTACTTACCTGTTACTTAAGCCTAGGCCAAAGGTTCGTGTTTCTGCTGCAGTACTGGACCGCAAGGTTCAGCCGCTTTACAGCCCGGGGACAATCGAGGTACGGTCTGTGCTGCACACGCTGCCTCCAGGCAACTGCCACGGCTGAACGGCTCCTAAACACGATTTGCCTGCTGGGAATGTCTGTCTGCGCCTCCAAAGCAACTGCAGCAGGTGCTGGGGTTGGAGTAGCTACATTGCCTGCTGTAGGGGTCAAAGAGGCTGCAGTGACTATCGCTGAGGATTCAACCTTTAAACCCCAAGAAAGACCCGTTTCTCACACAAAACTTTGCATTATAATGCGCGGCTCAGTACCAGAGACTGGATCAGCCTCAGCCCATGCCTGGGACACAACGCTCAGTTTGAGCAACTGGCCCTAGAGCTGCAGGAGTGGGGGGCTAGGCTTGGCCCCACTCTGAGGAGGTAGGATCAAGTGGTGAGAAGCCTGGACCAAACCACTAGAGATGTGGAATTAAAGCGTCCACGTTCCTGCATGTTAAACTGTGCTGCTTCCCCAGACTTTCCAGCAAGCTGCCAGCAGGGTCTGTGCTTTGACAGAGTCCGAAAGCAGCAGCAGGAGCAGCCGAGTATGGAAAAGTCCTTGGAAAAGTGGAAATTACACCCCAGCTGCGTGAACTGCCCTTGGGGGCAATTAAAAATAACACACCTTGCACCTCTTCAAATCAGTCCCTTAAGCCTGCAGCAGAGCATTACAGGCACATGGTAAAGGCAAGATCCAGCTAGGTTTTTGGAGAAACCCACACAAAAGGAGATCAGAGCACAGCTGGTGACTAGAGGATGCCCCCAGCATACACAAACAGCCAGGGGTTTGGTCCTCTTCACACAGAATCACAGAATGTTGGGGATTGGAAGGGACCTCGAGAGATCATCTAGTCCAATCCCCCTGCCGGAGCAGGAACCTAAATGAGATCACCTAGCTTCCTGTGGGCTGTTTGAGGTTTAAACTTGTTTGGGGATGCATGCTACACACTTTCATAAAACCAACAAGAGGGTGTTCTCCAGCTGCCTGCACTAGATCTCGACCAAGCAGGAAGCACCCTGAAAACAGAGAGGGGACGCAGGACGAGCTGCGTTACTGCACCAGCCTGGCACTGCTCAAGTGTAACAACTACTGCAAGGGGCTGGGAGAGCGTCAGTCAGAGCAGGCACTGAAAACAAACAGAACAGCTGAGACCTTCCTCTGGCACATGCAGAAGTTAAACCTCCTGAGAAAGCAGGTTCCAGGCAGTAGTGCTATTTGCACGTTCAGTTTTCAGGCTGGGCCTCGAACTCGGGCTCTCCCGGACCAGCGCACCCTTACGCCACTGCCTTATGCCTTGGCACTTACCCCTGGCACCTGCAAGATCAGCATTCCACATCCCGGACTTTTTAGACTTCCATATCCCAGTATTTTCTGGTGTGTCATTTACTACGCCTTTGTGGTGGAGCAATATACATTTACCACAGACTTCCCCCCCCCAATCAAAAACCAAAGTAATTATTAAAAAAACCCCCCATGGTCGCTACCCAAATGAAGACCTACAGCAGCTGCTGCGTAACAACCAGTGCGCCAGGCCAAAGGACACCAGTGAGAAAGCTGCGCTCAATGGGAATGGTCATCAGCACCCGACACCATCTGACGGCTGGCTCCAGCTCGTTTTATTTCACTTTGCAGCAAGTTTTGCTTTACATCATGACCTTGCTTTCAACGCTTACCTTCCCTCGACAGCTAGCAGAGCTGGGACACAGTGTACCGCCCCAGGGGTCTGAACAATTCCAAGTACATATTTGTGTTGAATTAGTGCAGAATTTGTAATATCATAAAATGAAAATTCAAGTTATTGAAAACCAACTGACAATAACGTTGCCAAAACACTTTTGTCACTTACATTTTTAACCCTTTGCCATTATCGCTACTTAACGTTACATGAATTTACCGAAAGTGTTACCAACAACTACAGCAGAACAGTGCTAAACCACGTTTAAAAACCTAAAACCCATTCCCCTTCTCTTCAATTTTGCAGATCAGAGCATGAACGGAGAAAAAAAACCCAAAACATCCCCAAACGTCCCCCCGCACCTCAGAGCGACGCATGTGACGCTCCATGGTACAATGGCACAGTGCAGCAGTGGATCGTCCAGAGGAGGTTAAATAGCAGCAAGCCCTCGGTACAATGCGTAAGAGATCGGAGAGCCACAATTACAGAGAGCTTATAATATGTGGGGCTTAATGAAAGACCAGTTAAGATTCTACTCTAATTACTCACATGAAGGGAAAAGTAAAAATTAAAACCAGCATTCATTTTAAAAGCCTCAAAAAGCAGAATTCATACAAAATGAAAAGTATTAAAACATTTTTACAGTAGTTTACTATTTCTACTAAATGGCACCAGATTTCAAGTGGTCACATGAAAGAAAAATCAGTAACATTTCAAATTTTGCCTGCAAGTTATTCTACAAGCAGAATTTCTATCTTTGCATTTGCTGCTGAAAGGAAGAAGTAAATGTGAATTGAGTATTGACGAATCTTTAACCTATACATCTTCTGATTTGGTGTGATTCAGTAAGTAGAAAAGATTTTCCATACTCAAGTTATCTACAGATTATGTCTATATATATAAAAAAAAAAAAAGTGTGGATATATATACACATTTAATACATACACACACACTCGTCCATATATACACACACCGGTACTGGATCGTCTCGCCTGCGCAGCAGCGAGCCGCTGCCCCACGCCCCACGGCAGAACCCGCTGTAAGGCTCCGCAGTGTATCGATTACGGGACAAGACACAGGCAGCTGCTCTTGGTCTGGGCTATAATTGTTCAACTTTGTGATCTATTGTTACACTTCTTGTTGCATGACAAAAATTTCAATAACTTAAGAACTGGTTGTATAAAAACAATTCCAGAAACAGAGCTCCCTTATTCAAGGAGCATCCCCACTCCCAACCCCTGATGTTGTTTTTGCTAAATGATTACAGAAGTCAAACTAAATCACATCAGAAACTGCAAACACACTCTTTTGTCTTAATCTAAACTAACGTGCATCAAAACATTCTGCAGCGTGGCGTCCTTCGATCTTCTCATCTTCTCAATTGCCCTGTGGAGATCCTGCTGCTGCACAGGCCGAATTTCATCTTCGTCACGGCTTTAAAAGAAATAAAAAAAGCGAGATAGTGATTCAGGTGCTGTTTAACAGCTATTCTTACAATGAGAAATGATCATGGAAAACAGCAGCTCTGACATGGACCCAAAATGATACTGGAAACACACCCATCTCCATGCACTTCGTACCTGCAAATGTGGGAGATAATCAGAGGAACATCCCAGCCAGCGGAGTTAGGGGCATGAAAGGGCATTACCAGCACGGACGCCTGGTAACACAGCGCAGTAACACCACTCTCCTGTTGGTTCATGCCACCTCACTTTCATAGTCAAAATCAATAAAGGTTAACTTATCTGTTGTCTTTTTTTTTTTCGTATAGTGGCAATTTGTCAAGAAAAAGAGAACTCCTGCTTTCTGTGAATCACAGCAAGGTTTTCTAAAATTCTAGTTGATCAGCCCACTCTGCTCTGCACTGGTGCGGCCTCACCTCCAGTACTGGGGGCAGTTTTGGGCACCACAGGATAAAAAGGATCTAAAGCTCCTGGAGAGTGTCCAGAGGAGGCCACAAAATTGGTAAAGGGTTTAAAGAGGAAACCATGTGAGGAGAGGCTGAAGTCGCTTGGTTTGTTCAGCCTGGAGAAGAGGAGAATGAGAGGAGATCTCATCATGGTCTAGAACTTCCTCCCAAGGGGAAGAGGAGGGGCAGGCGCTGATCTCTTCTCTCTGGCCACCAACACCAGGAGCAGAGGAAATGGCAGGAAGATGTGGCAGGGGAGGGTGAGGTTGGGCATGAGGAAAAGGTTCTTCGGGCAGAGGGTGGTGGAGCACTGGACCAGGCTCCCCAGGGAGGTGGTCATGGCCCCAAGCCTGACAAGATTCCAGAAGTATTTGGCCAACATGTGCCCTCAGACACATGGTCTGAATGTTGGGATTGTCCTGTGCAGGGACAGGAGATGGACTGGATGATCCTTGTGGGTCCTTTCCAACCAAGAACATTCCGTGATAAAGTTGCAATTCAAATTAGAAAATACAAACTAATAACCAGCAGCATCTAGAAGCAGGAGCATTCACAGATGCTGTTCAGCTATCGTAACAGACAGAACAGAGACACGTACATCTCTTCTTCACAGGCAGAATTAACATATTCCCTGACACAGAGGAGTGCTGCATCCCGGCACATTTCTTTCAGATCACTGCCAGAGAAACCGTCCGTCTCTTTAGCAACCTCTAGGAGATCTACATGCCTGTCCACCTGTCCAAAAACAAAAGGTAAGAGCATCAAAAGTAATTTACTTTGTTCAACAAGTCATTTTTTACCTGCCCTAAGAAGATCTTTTTCAGACTTGACTTTTTTCTGAGAGCTAAAAAGCAAACAATTTCATTAACTTACAGTTTGAACCCTCCAAGTAGTTAATTTCATTAAATGAAACTGATGCTTCATCTTCTAAAACTCTGTAGCTGATAAAAAAAAGAACAGGCAACCGAAAGTAAACCATCATCTTGGTATATTCTGTCACTGACACAGTTCCCGTGTGGTTTTGGAAGCCTACTGGATGGCAAAAACTGGATCACATTTAAAAATGACCCACTTTCCCAAATGCCCATGCAAGTTCCATGCCATGGCACTGCTTTTTGTGGTCAAGAGCTCCATCAGACCCCACGTGCATCTTTTTACCTGTAGACAACGAACACTACCCAACAAGTCTCCTGTCACAGCCACAGCCCTTTTTTTATACGTTATTTGAAAGAGTGGATTTTGTTTTCATAAACATGTCTTTTGACCAGTAACGCAGCAAGGCTGGAAGAAGCTCCTGTCACATTTACGTTTTGTTGTTGTCACCTTTCAGTGCAGAGTAAGAACTTCAAAAGTAGTTGTTCACCATCTCAGCAACTCAGTTGTTTGCTAAGTTCTCAGCCTGAAGAAGAGAAAGCTCCAGGGAGACCTTCTAGTGGCCTTCCAGTACCTGAAGGGGCTAGAGGGATTGAGGGACAATTGACAAGGGCAGGGAGTGACAGGACAAGGGGTGGTGGCTTCAAACTGGAAGAGGGGAGATGGAGATGAGATCTGAGGAAGAAATTCTTTGCTGTGAGGGTGGTGAGGCACTGGCCCAGGTTGCCCAGAGAAGCTGTGGCTGCTCCTCCCTGGAAGTGTTCAAGGTCAGGCTAGATGAGGCTTTGAGCAACCTGGTCTAGTGGAAGGTGTCCCTGCTGATGGCAGGGGGGTTGGGACTGGATGATCTTTAAGGTCCCTTCCAACCCAAACCATTCAATGAGTTACTAACAACTGCTCCTACTTTATACAGCCATGAAACGGGGAACCCTGAAGCAAAACAAGTCTAATTCCATGCACAGGTTACTGGGTTGAACTCACTGCAGCCTGCACCCCGTATTTATTCAGTCCATTTCCAGAATCTCTGGTAACAGCCCCTTCTGGCACATTTTCCAACACATCAGGATTTTATTCTCAAAAAGTTAAAGCCAAACTAGTCTAATAAAAGGCTGAAGAGGTGATGACTTATAAGAGGCAAACTGTTCTGTGGTGATGAAGACAAAGCCCCAGATGTCATTTTTGCTGCTTCCAGCTTCCCCTTCAGCCTGTACCCTCCCCAAGATAACCCAAGAATGCACCAACACCCACCGAGCACCTTTCCAATTCCCCACTGTTCCTCTCACTTTGCCTGAAGGACAAGGGTTACGGTGATACAGTCCTGTTGGCTCAGATCTTGAGCTTGTACTCAAGCCCCAGCTCCCTGACCTACAGCTCAGCATGCAGTGCTCTGGTTTGGGTTTGGAGCGAGCTGTCTGGCCCCCCAGGCATGGAAATGAAGGCAAAAGTGGCAGGTGGCTTATACCAAAGTGCCTCCTACAGACACTACGGTCTGGCTGTCTTCAAGGGCTTTGCTTTAAAGCATGATCCTGCATGCAAATACTGCAGCCAGTGTGGATCTGCAACGTATATGCTCAATGTGGGACTGGAGACCACCAAGAATTGAACGGAGCAGCGTGGCTGGCTAAGGATACACAGAAAATGGGAATGTTGTGTAGTGGGCATTAACAAGGATTTCACTTTGAGTGAGAAAGAAGAAACAAGATGTTAAGGCAGGTAAGAAAAATGGAGGGGCATGACTACACCCATCACAGGAAGGACTGCCAGGAAGTTTGTCACTCTGGCTGAAAACAAGCTGGCCTGGAGAGACCCAATTCCTCCTCCTATGGAATAATCAATACAGGCTGATTTTTTCTTCCCCCCCCACCCCACCCCACCCCGCCCTGAAAAGTGTTATGTGTGTGGCTGTGATTCACTGCCAGATACTTGATACACCTTGTGTTCTTCCAGGTCCATTTTCAGCAGCCAATTTAGGTTTCTGCTGAAGGCCTTAAGGCCAAGGTGCACCCCCCAGGCCCAGCTGCTGAGGCAAAGGAGCCAGAGTACACTTGTGTGCGAGGGCTGGGGGCCTGCAGATATTCAGGGGGCCCGTAAAAAGGTCTATTATTTAGCACATCTCCTAAAAAACAGCTCTTGAAAATAAATTTGAGTCTGAAATTACCACTTGCAAGAGACATACTAAGTTTGTTTGAGATTGTCTGCAAATAGGTCAGCTCTTTCTCCCCAACTCCTTCGGCATTTCCTATCAGTTCTGTTTTCACATCTATGTCTACTATTTTGCAAAAAAGCCAACCTGTATCAGAATCCTACACAAACATTCCAAAATGACCATCTGCAAAGTAACTTCCCCAATACCTCAGACATTCACAATGATAAGCTGTGCTTTTAGGGCCTCTTAAAAAATTCTAAGTTGGTTTTACTAACAAATTATATTTATATTTATTAGGATAGACCTCAATCAAGAGACTTTGCAACATTAACTTCAAGTCAGTGCTGCAGACGAAACTTGGCAGGAACCTCTGATAACGTAGGCCCCATATCCTGCCAACAGACATGACCAGATGTGCTCAAAGCTACTCCTTCCCCTCATCTTGGAATGCAGATGGCATTACGAACACCACCCAATATCAGTAACAAGATCTATAGTAGTTTTCCTCTAAAGGAAAAATGAACTGGGGATCAAAGTGCAAAAAGCAGCACTGTCAAAAAACATCATTCCTCCTTTCTTGACTTGAGCCAATAGAGTGTTACAGAGTTAAAAAACTTCAGTATCTCTTCTCCCTGCTTCATGATGTCATGAAATTTCTTTCACTGATCAACGCAATTTCCAAACACAATTCACCTTCAGGATCTTCAGAGAGATAAATATACTATCTTGTTATATAACAAGAAAATAGAGACAGAGAAATTAAGTAATTTTCCTCAGCAATGGTGATTCCCCACAAAACCCAAGACTGCTGCTCTGACTGAGGCTCATGCTTAAACTAGTAGGCAACTCTACTGCTTTAATATATCGACACACCTAAAACCACAAAAGATTCCCAAGTTATAATAAGAAAAACCCTGGTACATATTCTCTGCCTTACTCTAAGACAGTCAATTATAAAACATGTTTTCTATAACTCCAGAGCTTGCACTCACAACAACAGTAATACAGCAAATTAATCATTAAAAGAAGTCTACTTACATTTTCATTTTTCAAAATTAGCTTCAAGATTGCTTCTCTTTGTTTCAGAGCCTTAAACAAAAGAGATTAAAGTTACTAGAGCAGAAAAATAAACATATGTAACATCTATCTCAACTTTGTACCGTGTGGGCTTTCAATCACCGTTCAGCGACAGAAGCTGATCCCTCAAACCAGAGATGTGACACACACTAAGGAAATCTACCTGGTGGCAAATCACTCAGCAAAATGAGATCTAGGGTACTCTGACTCCAGGAGCACATGAAACTAAACATTGGAGCACATACATTTCCACTAACTACAGGGGAAGGGAAAATGCACTGACATTTAGTCTTTGCCGTAAGTGAAAGCAGCTGTCTCCAAAGATTTCCCATCATCTTTAATGGAGGGCAGACCCTCTAGATCTAGTGGATGCTTCCAACACCTGGCTAAATCAGATGAAGAGGATAAACTGTTCTGCTTAAAAAAAAAAAATAAATTTAATTCTGCAGTTGATGCTTGGAAAATTTTAATATAAATCACATACTGTGAAAAAGTTATTGAAAGAAACAGTTAAGCCCTGAACATATCCCTAACAGCAAGGTAAAACACAGGCAGCAGAGACTCTTTTTTGTGTCTCCCAAAACCAAACTTGTCCTAAAATCACTTTCATTGTTAAAAAGGGGAAAAACTACCCTGTAGATAATCTGGCAGCTCAAAAGTTGATACTCTGTCTCAAATAAATACTTCTTCTATTTCCCTCCACCTTGCAGGTAATTTCTTAGGAGTAATTTAAGTCATTCTCATCTCAAACTTAGTTATAAAATCTGCAAGGTTTTATCTACTCTACAGTGATATGACCTGTGCACACTTCCAGTCCACAGCACATAAATTATCTTGGCCCTCAATAGCAGAATTGTAACCAGTCGCAGTTGTATTAGGACATGGAGGTGCTGGAGTGTGTCCAGAGAAGCGCAACGCAGCTGGGAAACAGTCTGGAGCACAAGTGTGATGAGGAGCAGCTGAGGGAACTGGGGTTGTTGAGCCTGGAGAAAAGGAGGCTGAGGGGAGACCTCACTCTCTGCAGCTCCCGGAACAGAAGGTGTAGAGAGGTGGGAGTCAGTCTCCTCTTCCAGGTAACAAGTGACAGGACAAGAGGAAATGGCCTCAGGCTGCACCAGGGGAGGTTTAGATTGGATCTGAAGAAAAAATTCTTCACTGAAAGGGTGGTCAAGCATTGGAACAGGCTGCCCAGGGAGGTGGTGGAGTCACCTTCCCTGGTGGTATTTAACAGATGGGCAGACGAGGTGCTCAGGGACGTGGTTTAGAGGTGGAATTGGCAGTGTTGGTTTATGGTTGCACTCGGTGACCTTAAAGGTCTTTTCCAACCGCTATGACTCTGTGATTCCATTCAAAGTACCATAGACAAGAACAAGAGACAAGCAGTAAATTCATGAGATGGCTGTAGCAAAGTAAGGGAAGTTTTGTGTCTGTGCCCTAAATGACACCTCCTGTTGTAATTCTGGTCCTGGGAGAGGGAGCCAACCCCTGTAACATCCCGAGGCACTGTTACCTGCAGATAATTCATCCCTCTAACTAATGATTCTTGATAGAAAGACACAATAAAGTACTAAAATACACATCCTTGCCCCTTACTAATTCAAGGAAAACTTGAAGATGAGTAAGGTGTATGAAACCCTATGAGCAGGCATCGTAGAAAAGCAGTTAGCAGGTTGTAAATGCTTTGTTTCAAAAAGTCTCCACCCACAAGGAGTGAAAGCCAGTTCAAACAAGATGGGTCTGGGAACATGACTACTCTCTTGCACAATCAAGGAGAGCTTTACTCCTCCAGTTTTGTCTCCAAGTTTCTGAAAAAAATTAATAATGAGAGGTACTTCTGTAGCCAGAAGGGAATAATGACAACCACGACTGAACTCTGACACGAAAATGTCTTGCGATATCACTAAGCGTTCGAAGGCGACTGAAATACCTTGAAAAGGATGGCAATAGCAAAATTTATAGTGAGGGTAAACTTGTGACAGCTAGCCTAACTGACAAAGACCTTAATTACTGACTGTTTGCCATAAATCATAAGCAGAATAAAATCAGCTTTCCAGATTGCTTGCTGTGACTGACTGTGGAAAGGCTTGAGCAAAATGTAGGCTATGATATACAGATTTAATTCCCTCTTCTCTCCTTGAAAATGAAATACTGTGTATCCAGGAGGTATAAATGGTAGTCAGTATGTACCCGCTTCTTGCCACTATCTGCCCTGGGTGCCACTCCCCCATAGGCAAGTGTGTGCAGTCACTTTTGTGCTTTGTGTGGTTGTTTTCAAGTTAAAGCTTTCCAGAGTGCAGCATCTAAGACACACTGCTCTTACGGATGAAGAAAATGGGTGGGAAGCTTTCAGAGCACATGGCATTAGATAAAAGTCCCAAAGAATCAAGAATTCTGTGAGAAACTTCACCTTAAAAAGCAAAGTTATACACGTGCTTCCAAAAAAACTAAAGCCAGATCAAAATAATACAGTATTTGTTTGAAAAATAATCCCAAGAGATGTGCAATTCCTGGCTGATAAAGCACCCTCCTGTAGCTCAGCCACCAGGCACACTGTTCAGGTGAACCTGGCATGACTTACAGGTTGGTTGATGTGAAACCGGGTCGGCATTCTTCTCATGATCGCAGAGTCGAGATCCTGAGGACGGTTAGTGGCTCCCATCACTATTACCTGTAGACACCAACAGAAAAAACGAGTCAGCCTGAAACCAGCTTTTGAAAACTTCACCGTATTGGAGTTTCAAAACCAAACACGTGATTCTTCCACGCTTTATCAAGAACATCGATATTTAAAGAAGTTACATAAGGTTTCCTGGTACTGATTTAAGCAACTGAATTTAAACAGGCAGCTTAAGAGAACGTTGGTACCACAGAGTACCATCTGGGTGGAGATTTTTGCATTAGTCTGAAAGCCTTCTGAGCCCAATCTGAAAGTTCTAACTCTAAGCAGTAACCCCAAACTTCTGCTTTTAAGCATTGACGATGTCTCTTTGGTTCCTGGTGGTCTGGAAGAAACTTGAAAGGAGACGTTTTGAGAAGGTCATGGCATTTTTGTGCTGTGTTGAAAAAAAGAAAGGTGATCAGTTCACGAGGACAACCAAACTGGCAGATTCTGCATGCATGAAAATGTTGTGGGGTTTGGGGTTTTTTTAAGCATTAAAAAAAAGCAGTAAAAGTCAATAAAAACCTATATGCACTGGTATACTGTAACAGCAGCGCATTAACTGTGTGCAAGCCAAGTTCAATACAAAGAGATTATTTACCTCATCTAACTGCATTCCAGTTGTTAGCTTAAGAACAAATTTACTTCCCATTCCCATCAGCCTTGTTTTCTCATTTGTTATTGTAAGTTATGTACATTGTAAATACCCAGTCATGAAAGTGAAAAATGTCAGGGAAATTCATCTCCTATCCATACAGTTTCCTGACTTGCTTCTGGTCTTTTGTCTGGGGTCACTGTTCCGCAGCCAGCCCTGGCAGCTCCAGCAGCCCCTGGCCAGAGCAGCGTCACCCTGCCACCTAGAGGCTACACTACACGGTGGCAAATGGCTAACTACAGAAAAAGCCAAAAGGCCCATTTTTTGCCAGGGCTCTGGCAGTCTTCACCTTCTCCAAAGCGTTACGCACGCCAGCACTTTGCACTTGCCTGTGTGCCAAACATGAGCCAAGGTTCAGCTGAGCTGCCCCTTACAGAGAGGCATCGCCGTACCCATGCTGGGCTTTCCGAGTGTCCGCATCAGGGCCCAGCCTTGGACCCAAAGTGTTGCTCAATCTGTGGTACCAGAGCTGAGGAGGCTTCCCAAAACCAGCTTTGTCTCCAGGTTCTGCGAACGTGGGACTTCCCCAGGGCACGAATGCAGTGGGTATGGGGCTTCCAGACTCCAACTGTCCCTTCAAGCAGCACAGCTCTGTTTTCACAGTATCACAGAGTCACAGACTGGTGAGGGTTGGAAGGGACCTCTGGAGATC